TCTCTCTCTCTCTCTCACCTCCCCCCCTCTCTCTCTCATCTCTCTGTCTCTATCTCTTATTCTCTCCGTCTCTGTCTCTTAATCTCTCTGTCTCTGTTTCTCTGTCAATCTGTTTTTCTTTTCTTATCTCTCTGTCTGTCTCTCTCTTTGCCTCCTTTTCCTCCTCGTCCTCCTCTCTTTTTCATGTGTGTGTGTGTGTACGTGTGTGTGTGTGTGTGTGTGTGTGTGTGTGTGTGTGTGTGTGTGTGTGTGTGTGTGTGTGTGTGTGTGTGTGTCAGAGAGTGTACGTGTATACCGTGAGTGTATTTAGTAATCTTCTCCCTCCCGTGGGTGGTTGACGGGTGCTCTGGTGTGGTTTGCTCTTCTTTCCTATCAAACATCTATCATCTTTACCTCTCCTTCTTTTTTGTGTTTGTTACTTTCTTGTAAGACCTCTAATCTTCAGCGGATATATACGACATGGGTGGTTGGCGGGTGCTCTGGTGTGGTTTGCTCCTTCTTTCAGGTTTAAAACATCTATCGTCCTTATCTCTCCCTCCTCCTTCTTTTTTGTGCATGTTACTCTCTTGTAACACCTCTCTTCTTCGGCACTTATATGACCTTATTGTGCTGCAAGTGCGTAAAACTCTTACTAAAACTAAAACATATACGACCATATTGTGTTGCAAGTGGCGTAAAACTCGCTGACTAAAACATAAAACAAAGAAGGCCGTAAGCAAATTAGAAGACATCGATGATTTGTTTACCTCCGTGGTGTCGGTGGTCTCGTTGTGTTTTGCTGTTGGGCTCGCCACTGAAAGGTTGTTACTAAAACTAAAAACCTCTCCCACCCTACCCCTTGGCGATGGATTGGACATACTCTCAGGAAGTCAGGCAGCTGCATAGCAAAGAAAGTTTTAGATTGGAAACAACTGGGCAAGAGATCAAGGGGAAGACCTCGTGGAACCTGGAGAAGAATCACAGAAATCGATGTACAGAAAAGTGGGAAGACATGGAATAACATCAAGAGGCTAGCCCAGGATAGAAAAAGGTGGAAGGTGTTTGTCCATGCCCTGTACCCTGGTGCAGGGTGAGAAAGGCAATGATGATGATGATGATGATGACCCTTCCCCTGCCACCCCCACCTCCCCCAACCCCTTCATCTTCTCTTCCCCAGTTCTTCGGCTCTACTCTCCCTGGTGGAGGAGGAGGTTGTGGACGACAGCATGTACCCATTGCCCTCCTGGTTCCTCTTTGCCAGTGTGGCTGTTTTTGGTAAGGAGAGGGACCGTTTTTGTGCATCATTTTTCTTTCCTCGCAAATTGTAAGATCATGCTGCAGCAGATATGTACCTCTAAAACCAAGAAAGAAAAATATAAAAGAAGTTTTTTGTGTGTTTTTTTTACCGTCTAGCATAAGGCTATTGTTAGATTAAGCATCAATGTGTATTACTTTTTCTAGTATGTATCTATATAACTCTAAAGTACTTGTGATTTAATTCCTGTATGTCGTTGAATGATGCTTCTGATGTGATGCGTATATTTTGTCAGCTTTCCTTTTCTTTTCACATTGAATTTTAATGAGAATAATATATAATTTAAATTCTTATGTATACCTGCATGTGTTTTTACGGTCCTGTACAGCCAAGGAAAATTCCCTTTTGGGATAGTAAAGTATTATATTTTCTTCGAATGTTACTTTCTAGTAAGTGGGTGGCTGGTAGGGGCTCTGGTGTGCTTTGCTCCTTCTTTCTTATTAAACATCTTTCAACTTAATCTCTCCTCCTTGTTTTCTTTGTATGTTTCTCCCTAGTTAAATCATTAATTTTTGGCATTTATGACATATTTGTGTTGCAAATGCTGTAAAACTATTCCTCAAACTAAAAATCTAGACTTTTGAATACAGCCGAAATTGTTCAAGATGACCACTCATACTCATTGTCAAGCAGAGAAGTAGTTGTCTTAGATACATGGACATTTTTGAGCTTACATGTATCAT